ATAACACTTCAAAAAAAGGCTTTTGATTGTATAGTAAAATCAAAAAATAAGCTTAATGCCTGGTAATTTAACTCATATCTGTATTTTACAGATACAGCACCAATGGTAAAGTTCAACTTTTCGCCCGGTCAAACTACGCAACCAATCATTGCTTTTCTCTTCGATAAAGACTGATGTCGAATTATTTTTAGATGCATGCACAAATGCATAGTTAATTTTAGTTGAAAGATATTTTTAAAAAACTTTTTTCAGCAGCTTGTTGTGTGTAAAATCTAACCTTATGTGGATGGTTTGCCACCATATTGTACACTTCATGCCAGCTTTCGGGATAAGCCATTTGATAATCCTGGAAAGTCAATAATAAAAAACAAAATTGAAGCCTTCAAATACTAAATTGCCCCGTACTTACCGAATGAGCTTTTACCCAAAGCTTATTCCTATCCATGAGTTTATTTCGGCAATCAGGTGTCATTTGGGCATTTGAGCTTTCGGCAGCTTCCATTAGGCAGATAATTACTGCAAATAAATTTTGCGTCATGACTCTTTGAAAAATAAGAGCAAAAGGCAAATAAAATTTGAATGCCTAATGAACTAACTTTACAAAGAGGGAAACTATCTTTACAAACCTCGACTATGTCCTGGAACTACATCTGCACATAGTCGCTGGATATCGATGGAACATGCCTCATGCAATGATGGATCAAGATGAATGTCTACCATGGTTTCTTCAACGCGACGAGCCAACTGAATTTAAGGGAATGTAAACGACAACAAACTTTGATTCAGCTTTTGAAGATTCAAGAATTAATGAACAGGTATCCCAATGACTAAACTGACCTCCTTACTACAATCTCTATCTGAGATAGCTCCTTTGTAGAAATCTGCTTTTAGGCATTCTAATACAGTGTCGAAACCACCGCTCTAAAGTAACGATTTTTTTAGAAACTCTTTGAAACCTGAAGCAACAAACCTTAGCAATGATTGTTGAGGAGCAGTGCAACTTAATTGTTTCCTGGCATGCATGATACAACGGCAAGTCGAGTTGTGGGTCAAACTCTGCATCCACTATGGCTTTGGTAATCTGTAGAATAAAAATGTTATGTAACATTAGAGGAAGATGATAAGTATCTTCACAGCGAAAAAAAAAACCCCACTCACTTCTTGCTTGCAGGGTGCACTGAGTTCTATTGTATTGTGCGCTGACTGTCGGTACTTCTCTCGCAAACAGCCAACGACAGCTCCCTCAAGTACTTTCTGCGCATATTGCGGCAAGTTCATTTTCCTCATTTCATCAGGGCAACTAGACGAACAAATGATTTCCAGTATTACCCGACGCTATCCACTAGTGTCAAGAAACTACAATCAATAAACCGATATGCTATTGGAAGTTTGCTCTGCATACATTAGAATGTTCATGATGTTGGTTATTTTCAAAAATGTCCCATTTCATTCAATCACCCTGGGTTATACTGATATCTGGATGATCCTCGTATGAATTGAATGATAATTTACCTCAACGATAAACCGAGTTGACACTGCACGTCAAGCAACGGTAAACGGCGTGAGGTTTGCTTTGCAACAACCATTTACCAGGTGGCCTATATACCCGCGCTCTCATTGACGCCGTATCTTTCGCGGGACACAAGCCACCAACTTGGTGATTATTAACATTGATTTCTGATATCAGATAATCATAAAATATAACAAGATAAGCCTCAAAATACTATAACCCGCAATGAAAATGAGATAAGCTATGAAAAACAGCAACAGAGCTGTTACAAAAAAAACTTTAAGTGGAATTTCAAAAGCTTTTTCTTACACCATACAAGGGATACAAATCCTACTAGTTCTTCTCGACGATTTTCAAACATGAGGAGACAAGAAATTTGATTTACAGAAGCAAAAATTTCCTTTTTGAGATAATTTGACCAATCCCTCACTTGCATGAA